ATAGAACTTTCTTAACTAATGTAATCTTTGTTCTTCACCGCAGTTTTGTAACACCTTTAGCTCGCGCTACGTAATTTACGCGCGCTGTTTGTAAAATTTCAAATGTAAGCGCGCTTATCGTATACAACAGTTGTAGAGGAATTGATAAGGTCGAATAGACGAAACTAGTTTTCCTCAAACATTGTGTTTTCTGTGTGTCAAAGGAGGGGTAAGAGTTGAAATTATTTTGACGTCCTACAATATGAAGTATACAAACTCCTTTAAGGTCCAAGTCCGACAAATTTCAAGAATATTATTATTATAATTCATTTTTTGTAAACGGAACAAAGATTGGGAAATGCCCGATTTAATGAAATTTTAATTTTTTCTTATGAAAAATTGTAATTTCTAAACGTTTTTTTCTATTTATTATCCTTATTTTTTGTTTTTGTATTTGTTTTCTACTTTGTAGTCAATATTCATTATAATCTCAATTCAGGTAGCCAGTTGTAAATTACAATTATAATCTAAAATACAATAAGTGTGTTAAAATAATAATAGAGATAATAATACATTAATATTATTGTTATCATCATTGTTATTGTAAAGACACATTGTGATGTGCAGTTCATGTATGTTATCAATTGTGAATGTATATTTAAGGTACACCTCATATATACAAACTCAACTAGATGTATATGAGATGTATACGGAGTATAAATGATGTATATTGCTCTTTATACATTAAGTATACATCAGAAATCTTGAATTTTGTCTCAAATTGGTCAATGTATAGATAATGTATACACYAATAATACAAAATATATATAGTTGTTGTATACATTTAAGCCAGAATTGTATACATTTTGTATAACGAAATCTGGTAAGGGCAAGTATAGAGGTGGTAATAAGGGTGTTCCTACCTGGTATAACAGTTTAAACATTTTTACATGGAGGTTAACTCAAAATCGATTAGGCAACAACTTTAATTGAAGCGCAAACCAAAGTCGTACGTGAACTCTAAACAAATACGTCTTAATTTAGTTTATTTTTGATTCATTGTTATCTTTTAGACCCTTTAGTCAATCGAAAATAGCAAATACCCATGACAAGAATTTTGATAAACTTGGAGTTATTTACAAAGCAGGATGTCCGCGTCATCTTTTATTAGAAGTTGATGATGGACATTCGGAATACTAAAGCATTTTTGATCGAAGCAAAAATACCTATGACGATGATAATTGATCGAGTTTTTGTACATAGAATATTACAAATTACTTTCTCTATCGAACAAGGTATCGTTTGAGTATTTATGTGTCGTTATTTTGCAATTTCGCGTTTTCGCATTTCAGGAACACCCGTGCTAATAATGCCAATAATGGGGGGGGGGGACTATTTTTTTTTGTTTCAAGATATGGGATGTCGGATGGCAAGAACAGATGTCTAATAAAATTGAAAGTTATCGTGTCATTGGGYATTTACATTTTCTAATTTTCATTTATAATAGAATGAGCATTTTCCCATTCTTTCCACATTTTATCTAGGCATCAAAGTTCAATTGAAAGAATAGTAATAATTACATAAACTATAAAAACATCCCAGCACTTACTTAAAATTCGTATGCAATTTAGAGTTCATCTGCAAAGCATTCATGAACAACCGTCATTTTAATATGTCGAGAAGTAATTAGTTCATTTATGTTTAGCAGCTACGAACACTCAAATAAAGAAGCAACTACATCCCTATAATTTGCTCCTAATAAACACAATACCTACTCCAATTTCTACTTATCTCTATATTAGTGTAGAGTGCCACAAAGAAATTCGCATAAAAAAGGCAAGAAAATGATTACTCGATAGATTGATGTGCCGACGTTATCAAGAGAAATAAATAAGTATATAATACTGCCAGCAAGATATCATATAACAAATTATCTTTATTTCATCCTTTGCAATTTAAGACCATACGGAATCCATTCATGAACAAACGTCATTTTAATAATATATACAACTTTAACTATATACAATACAAAGATATACAAGATAAAGGATAAAATCGATATTACAAAATACTTCCAGATAACAAGAGATCTCTAGATCACTGACTGCTCAGGAAAGTACAGAATACTACCCTGGTTAGGTTTCAATATTTCCTTACACTAAACATGCAAACCTCGTGTCATATGGCCATTTCAAAGCTTAGGCTCAAACGTCTCTTTCCCAGTCTTTACAATTAAAAGCATAAGTATTCTGTTAGCAAAGAAAGCTTAGTAATACTTTTAAAAAGGTTATATGCGCAAAGTTTGTGATTGTCTAATAGATAGTAATAATAACATCACCATGAATAATAATAAGAATAATGATAATAATAATGATAATAATTTTTAATAATAATAATAAACTTTATTCCAAATAATAATAATAATAATAAAATGCGAGAAAAGGGATGTTAACGAAAGTCTTGTCTATTTTATAAGCGGGTAAAAAATGTTATTTCAATGTGGAGATATTTCTTGTAAATCTTTCAGAATTCCTCTAATACTTGGCCTGTGCGGAACAACTGGACCCACATCTCTTTTAAGAAAGGTAGCAATTTGCCGTTGATGTGGATCAGACAGTAGCGGTTGTATATGTGTGAACATATAGCCAAGAGAAAATATGTCAGATTTGATGCTCTGTTGTTCCGTTCCTCTAGGAATTTCCGGAGCAATGTGAGGATATGTCTTTAAATATGCTTTCTGCTGCGAGGTGGTCAAGGGCTTTGGATTATCGACTCTCCTCGCTTTCCCGAAGTCGATTATGACAGGACTATATTGTCCATTGGTTTTTTGTTCTAGTACAACATTGTTCGACTTAATATCATTATGCAGGAAGCCCATAGTGTAAATGTGGCCAAGAGCTTTGGTTATATCCCGCATTACTGAAAGCCACATTCTACTTTCTAGCTCCACCTTCTTGATGACCTTATGCAATGTCAGGCTGTTGTTATTGTCGCCATGAAACTGAGTGATCAGTCGTAGTGGCCTCTGACGTGTGGTGACTGAACAGGAGAGGAAGTTCAGGATGGTCTCCCAGCCGGCTCATTTTCATTTGGCCGAATTTTAAATTCCTTTATGGCCACGTTTAGTCCCCTATACTTGGCCAGATAGCAGCTACCATATGTTCCAGCCCCAATTGCTTTGGTAGACTTCACGTCCTCGCATGGGGCAATTTCTTTAATGCTTCCATGCAGAAGGCTTTGTCTTGTAGTTTCATGATGATGGGGAGAAATATCATTAGCTTCCAGTTCGCAGTTACTCCTCTCTAGATTTTGAGTAACGTCTSGCGGTGTTGCTTGAGCTTGTGCATTCTTAGCTAGGGCCTTTTTAGCTCTCCACCTCTTTTTGGCCGCTTTTCTAACTTTCTTCATTTCATCTTTATTCTTAACTCCGTGTTTTTGAGTTAACCTCCATGTTTTTTTGTTTCGAGCCATATTGACTCCAGAGCTAACTAGGATCTAGTTAATCTGTGGAGCCGGCGTTTCAAACACCCCCATGAGTAGAGCAACGTTGAAGAAACGCCTGGGCTAACGGGCGAATTTGATTGGTCAAACGACATTTTTATTGACAGAGTGTAGAAACGTCACGTAACTTAAAGTTAATGAACTCTAAAATCGCATTTGTGGGCGTTATATACTATGTTGATGGACGTGTGTTGGGATTTTAATAATAATAATAGTAATAATAATAATAACGAATTTCTGTTTAACAGACAACCAGAAGAGAGATATAATTCATACTGCTGGTGTTAATTTAACTTAGAGTCGGCCCCATCCAGGAGCTTAGACGCTAAGCACCTTTTGTAAAATGAGGGTGGTCCCAATCACTGCACACGTCTGCATACCACCCAGAACATCTGGGATACCCAAAACTTTTAGGTATCCCACAAACCTACTCGACACAACCCCAAGACAACCAACAACTAATGGAACTACCTTTGTTGATACCCGGTGCATCTTCCTTATCTCCTTTGCCAAAGGTGCATACTTTGCAACCTTTTCATCCTCCTTCAACACCACGTTCTTGTCCCAAGGCACCGAGAAATCAACAAACGTCCACTCCTGGGCCGCCCGATTCAACACAGTAACATCCGGACGATTATGTTCCATCTTCTGTGTTGTCTCGACGCCCCTGTCCCACCAAATCTCTACCTGACCATCCTCTGACACCCTTACCTCATCGGGTACTTCCTTATACCAAACATCAGCACACTTCACTCCATACTTCCTACACAGTTCCCAATACACCCTCAAGCCCATTCTATCATGCCTTCTCCTGTATTCCTTTTGAGCTAGCCCACTACAACCACTCGCCAAATGTCCCACAGACTCCNCCCTTCTTATGAAATGTCCCAAACATTGTCAACCTCTTTCTAGTCTTTACATCCATCTCCTTTAACTCTCGATCACTCCAGTCCAAKATWCMTGCACTATACCTTACCACACTAACAGCCCAASCATTGATTGCCTTGATCAAATTACCACCATACAACTTGGATTTTGCCACAAGCTTCACCCTCCTCAAGTATTCATCTCTCACCTTCTGCTTCATTTCTTTCTGCATAATATCAGCCCCTTCCAACACACCCAAGTACTTATACCCACTCTCATCYATCTCACTCATTTCCTTACCATCAGGTAATAAAATTCCTTCACAGTGCACCTTGCTCCCTTGTTTCAAGATCAACACAGCACACTTATCCAACCCAAACTCCATTCCAATATCCCTAGAAAACACATGAACTACGTCAACCAACTTCTCCAGTTCTTCCTCCGACCTACCATACAACTTAAAATCATCCATGAACAGTAGATGATTCATCATCTGCTGTCCTGAACCAAACCTGTAGCCAATGGTCTCTCTTTTTAACAACATGGTAAGGGGAACCATAGCGAGAACAAACAGCAATGGAGACAACGAATCTCCCTGGAATATTCCACGCTTGATGTCCACTTCACCCAACACTTCCCCATTTGACGTTAACACAGTTCTCAACTCTTGCATACTACCACATAGCAGTCCCTTCACATTATCAGCTACGTTGACCATCTTCAGCACCTCCACAATCCATGAATGTGGCACCATGTCATACGCCTTCCGATAATCAATCCAACCCATTGCTAAACACCTCTTCTTTACTTTGGCCTTTCTCAACACAGCCTTGTCAATCAGTAATAATAATAATAATAATAATAACAATAATAATAATAATAATAATATAATAATAATCAGTAATAATAATAATAATAATAATAATTACTTTAAAAATCTAAAAATATATACAGTATCAATAATTACAGTAAATATTCCATCGAATAACATTTCCATTTCTTTAAATAAGGCTTATATTTTACTTTTTACTTTATTAGAGTATGAAATAGTAAGCTTACCCTAGGGTATAACTTCTACTGCGAACTGAGACAGGTCTTTTGGCTGTTGTTCCTAAATTTACCTATGATTCCATATAAATAATCTATTTGATTTTCTTTAATATCGAGCGGGACATGTGTTACTTTTACTAAGAGGGCTCCCTATCTGTAGTTGATGCAAGTGCGTTTTTGCTAAGTATTTCACAGAGCAATTACAAAAACCGAGTCGAGAGATTGTGTAACTCTTTTCTTATGTCGAGATGCCTTTGTCAATCAAATCTTTGTATCGCTAAACGAAACACAATCAAAGTTAGAACAAGGACATGACCCCCTGTACTGCATACGTTTTGCTATTGGTCAAACGCACAAGCAAACAGAGAAATTTGATATATTCACAAGTTTACTTTGCTGGTGTTGCTAGATCTTTGCTTCGTTTGTTACGTAAAATGCCTAAGATAACTTGTTCTATTGAGTGCTATGTCTGCACGAAACATTTCAAGACGCATCGTTCTTTCATGGGTGGCAAGGGTGGTCTAGTGGTTAAGCTACTGGCCTCTCACCGCTGTGGTCCGGGTTCGATTCCTGGGCACGGACCATATGTGAGTTTGAGTTTGTTTGATGTGTTGTTCTCTCCCTTGCCACGAGGGTTTTTCTCCGGGTCCTCCGGTTTTCCTCCCTCAGTAAAAATCAACATGTGAGGAGTGTTGTGTGCTAAAATAATCAATGTAGAGGTAGTGAGTGTGAGTGTGAGGGCCACAAGTTCTTTACTGTCACGTGTTACCCTCGTAAAATAAAGTCGATTTATTTTATTTCAATAAACATTTCGTCCAACGTCACCCAGGTCAAATACTAGACCGCGAGAGAGTGCTATTTACCCGAAGTGACAAGTGCGAAGTCAATCTACCAGAAATGGAATTGATTAGTCGTAGAAAGACAGAATATAAATCATACCAAGTTTGGCTGACTGGAATAACGGAGCAAATAAATGCTTCTCTTCATCCCGATTTTCCAGGTAAAACTGACACTTAGTAAACAGTTCATAAACATGGCTATTTTTAATGAACCTTTGACCTTTGCATCTAGGGCGCTGGTATWAAATTGATTTGGTTCAAGTTCCTGACGGTTTTTTCAAACATTTGGTTACTCGTCTGGATCTGGTCCTCGATAACATACAATTTTCAAGCCACAAAAGACCCCCCGTTTATTTCCCATGCACTCAAAGAATCTTACAAGGGATACAGCATAAATAATATCATGAGATGTTTTAGCGAGCAGCGTTTAGTGAATTTGCGCTGTATTCTGGATTCAAAGAAATTGCCCCAACCACTCAAACGCTGGATCAATCTCATACCCAGCGCCCTTGTCCCTCTTACTGCGCATGCTCGACGAAAAACAAGAGCTCTGGAAATATCAAACACCGGACGTCAGAAACTGGCTATTTGAGACATGCGCACGAATACCGGAAATAAAACTACCAAAGCAACAATATGGCCGTCGCCGATGTCCAAGTGGCGGTCAAATGTGCTCTAAAAGAGTTAGGTTTTGATGAAAACTTTAAGTTAAAAACAAAACAATTTGAGGCTATTCGAAGTATAGTTTGTGAGAAGAGCGATACGATAGTTATACTACCAACGGGCTATGGGAAGTCTCGATTTATCAGTCTTTGCCACTCGTATACGACGTCTTGTATCGACACGTGGGTAAACTGTCAGCAATACTTAGTGTCTCCTTTAAACGCCTTGATGTTGGATCAAGTGACCGAACTCCGACAAAAAGAGAAGRGGGTCTCAATATGGAAAGCTGATGATGTAAGCTCAGTTTAATGACACTTTCGATTTATAGCAGTTATAAACACATTTGATAACTATAAGCTTTAATACTTGTAAGCTTTTGAATAATAACTACTCAATAACTACTCAATTGATATTAAACACTATTTAATCCCCTTTCAATTGTTTTCTTTTGTCTTTATCAGACTTTTATTATATTTCACAAGTTAGGGTAACTGTGATTATGTATTTTGCGTGCACTTGTCAATAGCAAGTTTATTTTAAACTTTAATTTTATATAAGCTATGCATACATACTCCATGCCAATGTCAGGTTAGAGTGGTTTTGTAAAATATAAATGTTAATCTCATAATATTTGTATTTTTAAATCTAGTTAGTGGGTGTAKGAGAGAGCTGTGATAACAAACAGTATATATATGCTCATCCAGAGGTTTTTGTTAATAAAGAGATTATAAAGAGACTTCAAAAAGAAGAGTTCGAACACAAAATTCAACCTGTTGTCATAGATGAGGCACACTTAGTTATTGACTGGTTAGATATTTTTATCAATATATATATCTTTTCATTTTCTTATAGTTTTTTTTGGAAAATACATTGAAGACATCAAATACTGTATTTTGAGTTTATAATAACTTTGTAATCTGTGAATTTCTCAAATTCATAAGTCACAGGTCTACAGTACATTAACATTGTAACTACAAAYAGCTGAACATGTCAAAATTCAATTTTCAGAAAACCAGGTGTTCTATGCCCGTTAAAATATTTTTTTTTCTATTAATAGGAAGGACTTTCGACCAGCTTACAATCGGTTGGASGTTCTCGCCAGTATCTTTCCTGGGAAACCGATTGTAGCACTAACAGCAACAGCAGCAACATCCAAAAGGGAGAAAATTCTTAGTTCTCTGGGTATGGTCAATGCTATAGTAATTGAGGAAAGTCCAGACAGGCCTAACATATATTTTTCAAGCTCTCCAAGGAGATTCTTCAACCACTTGTCAGTGAACTGAAACAAAAACGGCTAAATTTTCCATTAACACTAATTTATGGAAACTTAGAAACTATTTCTTCTTGCTTCTCGTTTTTTTCTAAAGAACTTGGGGTAAGCCAATATGAACCTATTGGCTCCCCAAACATTGCTGCAAACAGAATGTTCACTATGTACCATGCCCAGTACYCAGAAACTGAAAGAGATAAGATAGTGCGTGGATAAGTGGCAAGGAATTCCAAACTAAGAATTCTCTTTGTGACTGTTGCATTTGGCTTGGGCGTGGATCTACTAGATATCAGAAGGGTAATCCACATTGGTGTGCCAAGCACAATTGAGGAGTACTTACAGGAAGCTGGGAGGGGGGGGGGAGGGATGGTAGCCCTGCTACAGCCCATGTATATTTCAATTCGTATGACATATCTAGGGCAAAAAAGCATCTCTCAAAAGAAATGAGAGATTATCTTGAAAGTGGACGATGCAAGAGGGAAGTGATCCACTTTGGGTTCCCAGTGCCTCCCCAGTTCCCACAGCACAACTGTTGTGACTTCCATAGGCAAAAATGTAACTGCGATGACTGTCAGCTGATGAAGGATCTGGAAGCAATTGATGAAGATGATTGTCAGCCCAAAGACACAGCAGAATCTGACACAGCATCAAAAAGTAACACACTTACTGCAGAGCAGATGGACAGACTGTTAGAGGAACTACAGGACTTCCGCCTGTCTCTTCCTGGCATTGGACGATCCTGTGTAGGAATTACAAGCCTTGCTACTGGTATAACTTTAGACCTCCTGGAACAGATTTGCCAAAATGCCCAGTTATTTAACAGCATCGATCATCTGGAAGACAAAGTACCTTTGTTCAGTCATAGCCATGCAATTTCTATTTGGGAAATACTTAAGAAGTATCAATGATTATTTCTAGAAAAATGAATAAGAAATCATTGATTAGTGTTAACTATTTTTTTAATTTCATATTTTAACACTTCTTTTCTTGTCTGTTACTAAGCTACAGCTGTAGTATATTATAAAGTAGCAAGTATCGTACTTGATCATTATATTACTACTAACAGCATCATTCTATTCAATTTCACTATCATCATCTTCAGAAGCATCATCATCATCATCATCTGTGTCCACATTCTCATCTGTGTTTTCATACATACATCTGTTCTTCATACATCACACCTTTGAAGAGATTTCTTTTATGTCTTGTCAACCATGAATGTAATAATGATACATTTAGCTTGTTAAGTGGTGTTTTAGACACCTCTTTAAATGATATGAGTTGTCTTCCTGGGTGAGGTACAAATGGTTGTTGTTTGTGCACTATGGCAATCATGTCTTTGACATCATCTGTAGTGCTAGCATGTGTATGGCTGCTTGATACTGGCCGAGCACCACTTTCTTGGTCAAATTGGGCCACTATATTTCTAATGCCATATGCTGCTTTAGAACATCTTTCTACTGCCTTATAGGTTTTGTTTACAAACAGACCCTTGAGGATGGCTTTTTTCGCACAATGTGCTCCATTTTCAAATCATTGGCACAGTTCTTGCCTGCCCCACCACTTGCATTTACAAATTGTCCTTGTAGAACCATTTGAGCACATTTTTCAGTGTATAATGCTTTAACACAGGTAATGAATCTCATAGCTTCATAGCCATATTTCATGCTTCTTGAAGGACACCTAAAGTATAACATCAACATCTTCCAATTAATTAACCTTCTCGCTCAGTGTCATTGAGCTGCATCAGCATCGTTCCTAATTGCAAAATCTGAGAGCCATAGTTCAGGAGAGAATATTCTTTACTCTCTGGTAAAACAAAACAAAGTAATAAATTATAATTAAGTAATAAAATTCATAAATACGTATTAAGGAATGATTAATAATTAATGTAAATTCATTTTGATATAATGTTGCAGTTTGGTCTACAAGATACATGTAGCAAGCAAATACTAGTAAATGGTA